AAAATGCAGCAACACCTAAAATGACGCAACATTACTTCCTATAGAGTATGTACGGCTTGGGTTAAAAAATTTACAAAAACGAAGCCAAAGAAATCCTAAAACATATTTTTCATTACATTAGAAGAATTTCTCTGCTACACATAGTGAGCCAAAAGTTGTAAAGGTCAAATGAGAATTTATAAAATAGTAACGAGGAGTTTTTTACATAAATATTTTGGGAAATTTTCTACAAACCATAAGATATAAAACAAAAATATTCAATTATATTTACATCTTAAGGAGCAAGCACATAATTTTCTAGAAACGATTTGCACCTCAGAATTTCAGACAATGTGTATACCTTTACATGTTGCACAAATTCTTACCTAGGAATGCTAGGCTAGGCTAGCATTAATTATTGATATATACATTATTCATTGCCATTTAGTACTTATCCTTGCCACAATTTAAGGAATATCCCTTTGCACATGCATTTTCCGTGTGAAATTGCAGAATGGAAGTTTGGATTGCCAGCAACTTGGTCCTCAACATTTTAACTCGACGAAGTGACGAAAAAATCGGAAACATTTACAAGCGTGACTCTACGCAAGCCAGTTCTCTGAAGAACGCAACATGGATTTTGGAATACGACTTACAATTCAAATTTTCTGTACATTTTATAAAATATCATTTACAAATGTCAAATTTAAGCTTCAACCTATCTAGTTGTGGAATAAACTTATAAGGGTTCCTTGGTTAAACAACTCTGTCTAAATTTTGCTAATTTTTACTTATACGCACAAAACTTTAAGATGTTGTCGCTTTCATAACAATATTCAGTCATTAGTATTATTATTATCGCTAGTTTTACAGGTCTGAATTCTATATTAACTGGTTGAGGAACACGTACGAAACTACAAATTCGAACTGCTATTGGAGATAAACTACATGAATATGTAAAAAAAAAATTGGTATGCAAAATGTTGAGACACACACTTCTTGCCTGAAATGCAATAATTTATGTACCCCTCCCCAAGTGGTAAAGGCAGCTTACAGTTTAAGCTTTGTTAGTAGAGAGCTTTTTTTCGCCGCAAAGCCTAATCTGCTCCCAGCCAACATGTTTTTGAGCGATTCGACTAAATATGGTGGTGGATGACAGACAAAGTTCTCCCAATCAGACACTGGCAATCTAGGAATATTCAGAGGTAGGATCTACCAAATTTCAATTTTTAGACCCAACAACTGACCATGACAACTATCGTACTATTTAGATTTATTCAAGATTTCAGAAAAAATTGTTTAATTTTAAGCAGTTGGCATATATATGAGTTTGCCTGTAGCTTGCACTTAAACGAGGAAACAATTGGATCTAAAGGTTCATTTTATAAAATTACAAATTATCTGTTACAAATGACAAATTGAAGCTTTCCATGCTTAACCTAAAATGAACAAAATGAGACTGCCAAAAATACGTCCAGGTGTGTGTTTAAGTCTTTATCCGCTGACAAGTACAGAAATCAGACTGATAAGTCAAGTTAGGGCATACCTTAAAGTATATTTACTGTCAAATGGCCGGGTATTCTACGTGTTTCCTATCCAGATAAAATCTAAAGCCACATTTTTACAAGAAATGTATGCCTATTTAATTATTTCTTTAAAGAATGCAAGTTGGGCAAAGAGAAAATTAAATACGGAATGCTTCTACAGAAAAAAACGTGACAGGACGTATGCATATTTCGACTAATTCCAAGTCTTATCGTTTCTATGAACTATAAATATGCATCTAATTGAAAATTCATTAGTCTGAGCACAGGCACAATTTACTGATTACTTGCATATTTCGTTACGGCTCTTGTTTCACAAATTGCTCTGAATTTGCAAAAGCAAAAAACTGCACAAACACAAATTGTGAGTTGACGTGTGGGTATAAAATTGCTCATTAATAACTTTTGTATAACTATGAATGCAACCATTACTATTCTTAATGAAGAAAGCATTTCGTGGGGCAAAAATCATGCAACATTCATTGCCCAATGTGTCCACTTTAGAAGATTTACTTTACTCATTTCTATGTGCGTACACTTGTAACCTTTTCATATGCGAAACCTCTGATCAGAACCAGCTGCAATATCAGGTTCTTTCAATTGTCAGTCCTTCCTTCCTCCAATTTCTAACCTATACCAGGCCAGGTCATCGCTCATTCTTAATCAGAATTTGAACTGATTGTAGATTTAGTTCTATTAGTCGATAATTAATTAGCTACGAATAGCCAGGCCTGTACCATTACTATATAGTTATTGATAAGATTTCGCATCATACCGAAATGCAGAAAAATTAGTGATACGTTTAAATAGGCATATGTACAAATACATATTTACGTATGTACATGCATTACCGAGTAAAAACTCTCCACTTTGGGAAAAGCGTACAATTAAACATGTACATATTAGTAAGTACATTCATTTAAATAAATAGATAAGACATTTGTATGCATGCATGTATGCTGAGCATACTTTGCTCTAAACTGTCAATACTGTAAAGATTTAGTTAACGACAAGTTGCATATGTACATACCTAAATAGATTCGGTATGCAAATTTAGGAGAAATACATATTAATTCGTATCGACTTATCTACGTTATCTAATTCACTAGTATTGAATGCAATTAAAATTAACGCAATATGAATTTATATATTTTTAATTTCTAACTAAAGTTGTCATCTTAACTTAATTTTCTCCGCAGACGATATTTAGCAGTTGAGGGACATCTTCATCCTTCCTTTGGCATTGTTCTACCCGTGGGACTGAAAATACATACGTAATGGTGGTCATCATGACTTGAAGCATACCCCTCCTAAACACGTGATACATACATACGTCATAATTAAAATTGTCAGTTTTAAAAAGCTGCTAAATACGTCTGCTCTGAGACATGCAAAAAATGTGGCATTCGCATCAAGTTCCGTGGCAAATCTCAACTTAAATATGGTAAATACTTGCAAAATTTGAAGTGGGCATGACTATATATAAAAAAAATTATGGAATATATTTCGCAATTTGTTTGTTTGGGATTTTTCTTCATAAATTTACAAAGCAAGTCTTCACTTTTTTAAAATTTAAAATACTACCATTTAATAAATTAATGGCTAAACGAGTTACGCTACCAAGTTGAAATGATTTGGCCTATTTTCGGCTTTTTAACTGGGCATGTACGTACCTTGACTTTTTCCAGATTAGAATTAAATATGTATGTAAATATGGAGATACTTGAGTGAAGAGTCGTACATCTGCAAATTAGACAAAAAAACTTAGAAATAAACACATTAATTTTGCTCATAAATTTTTATAAAAATGGCAAAACGACAAATTTATCATGGTCATTATATAAGTTACCTTTTCAAACCTCCTTTTTAAATTTTCGATTACATTTTGGATACCCTAAGGTCCGAAAATTAATTCCATATGGCTGCTCCATCTAACCCAGTGGAAAATTCAGTTCCACTGTAATTTAATTTATATAAATCAATACTGGAAAATAATATTTCAAAATTGGGCAATCTTACTTGGATCTTGAATACAAAAATCTTCGTGTTTTTTAGAAATAGTTCGTAATCCGTATCAAATTAATCCTTCACTTTGAAATAGTTAGTTCGATTAAAGTTTACGAGTTTGACCACATTTTGTAGGGTCCGGATGCTAAATGAACTTTCAGAATTTATCTTGTCACGTAGACATCGATGCGTCACCTCATTGTTCAAGAATCACAATAATTGTAGGACCATGCAAAATCTTGTCGCTGAAAAGATTTATATTTAAAATTTATTATGTATTTTATTATTATTTTATTCAGGTAAACAATTACGTCAGTCTAGGGATTGGCAGTGAATTTGCGGGCCTAGCCCCACTGTCAATCCCTAGACTGTACGTAAAAACTAAATCCCTTTCAATTATTAAATAAAATTGATTACATGATCTCACTTTGTGAGTGATCCCCTCTAATTTGGTGGAGAAATACGAGCGAATTGTTTACAAAAACTTCCAACACATACTAAAATCAAAGAATGGATGTTATGGAAAAGGAAATCGCATTAAAAAGAAAGAATCGACTTTTATTATCGGGCCATTAAAAATTTCTAATATAAATGGCATAAATTTCCAAATGCTTTAAGTGCATGACGATGCCGCCGAATGATATGCATGTAGTGGTTTTATATTATAAACATATTGGAATTGAATCGTAAAGAAAATATTTCTATATCATCTTGGAAGAAAATCACCGTTAGAGAAACTTTCTAAATAAATACATAATTATTTATGTACATGCACACGGTGTGCATGTACATACATATATATGTACGCATCTGGGCATCTGGTTATCTGGGCATTGTGGTTAACTAGGTTAGGTAAGCCTCCCAACTCGATATCCCGTCCCATGTCCCGGTATTCGAATATATTATCCGATCTTAAAATACTGGGGTACTTCCGTGGTTCAACTCTTTTAGGATCTAAGGATACTGGGATATTGGAATTAGGACTCCTAGATATTCGGGTTGTATATTGAAGGATCGTATCACGAGTCATGCAAGGCTTCAGCCCAGCCCAATCGCTAATATTGAGTAAACTCTGTTTCAATTCTGGTAATTGCAGCGGGAAAGCCACATGCCCAGTTACTTAACATGGGCACGTGACTTTCCCGCTGCAATCACCAGAATTGAATAGTTTAGTAAGGAATAACTGATCGCAGATTTAAATTGAATTTCATCCCGCCCAATGTAATCAAGTGGGCACGTGATTTTCGCGCGAAAATATCCTGCGATCATTTATTCCATAATAGCCAAAAGCTAGGTAGTGACTAGTATACGACCGCAGACGAGGGGAATCTTGATTTTTTTCACTTTAACGTTCGTCTCAATTCCTTTCACTTCCACAGGCGACAAAGAGTTGCAGTTAATATTTTCAAAAATTTAATTGGTGGAATTTTGAAAATTAAATATACTGTTGCCCGGCGGGAGACGGGCTTATACGCTAGTATTTCATAAGCGACACTTTATTTTTCACGGGAATTTCATTTTATTATAAAACATGTACATACTCATTAAATACACAAAAAGAGTATGAATACATAATTGGGTTAAATACGAAGCATTACAGAAGTCTACATTTATTACATATACATATACTTTATCACAAAAATACATTTATTTATATTACTATCAGACATAAATATGTAAGAATTAATGTGCATATGTGATTTCCTAAACTACGCATACATAATGATCGCTTATTTGTAAGTATATACATGTTATAAATATATAAATATAATTACCTATATCTATATGTTATAAATATAATAGAGAGTATAAAACCAAGTAAGTTTGTTGAAACAACTACATACATGTTGCAAAATTGCAATTCATATAGAAATCTTTAGTTAATTATGAGGGAACCAATTGCCTAAAATTAATCATTTTCTTAATGATCTGCCTGAAGAATCAAACTCCCCAAATGTATAATAAAGCCAACAAGTGTGCGATAGTTACAAAATACAGTGAACCTGAAATGAACTCTGTAGCCGCTTGCATGTAATGATTTTAGCATTTATTGTCTCAAAGGGACATTTTGGGATAGTTTGTGAGTATCTTACGCATTGAATGCGGCTTAATGGTTTATTATTATTTTTACACAATATTAACAAACTTTATTTGTCCAGCTTGAGGATCAGCTAAATTGTAGAGTAAATAAGTAGCAAGTAGGGAATTATTGCACCTTTTTCGGAATACTTTGCGAGCAAATTTTAAAATGTGGTTTTCTGAACGGTATTAACGAGTTTTAAATTGTATTAATACAAACAATACAAACTTAATTAATGGCTCGTTACCATGTGGATTAATCTTTGTTAATGTCGAGAGTTGTCTGAATACGTCGTGGGCGTAACTAACAGATTTAAAGCATTTGAAAAAAGTATCAATGAAGGGGCTGATCGTGCGTATTTTCTTTGTTGGTGATCATTTTGAGATCCTTACATGTCTACCCGGTTAGTCAATTAATCATATTTTCTAGCAAAAAAAGTGTAGCTAAAATATGCATTAATACAAATAATGCAATCATAAAATGCAAATCGGCACCTAATCGTATGCATCCGGATGTTGGCGAAATACTAAAAAGTAGACCAAGGGCACCCTGATATAAATATTATAAAACAATTTTGTAAAGTTAGTGGATGCTTATAGACATTTGTTTTTTATTGGTGATTTATCGATCCTATTGATATCCTAGCTTTCTGCACGTAATTCTGATCAGTGAACAGATCAGAATTACGTGACGCGTGTAATAAATTTTACCTAAATTTCAATTTTATATTAAGCTATGTATATAAGCAAAAGAATACTATACCAACAGTATACATAGTTGGTGTTTCATCCTATAGATTATTTTATCTCTTGTGAAAATTCAAAAGACTCATGCAAACGTTAAAAAATCTTCAAGAATCGCAATGTCACGGATACGATGTAATCTGTGCTCGTTCAAACACTAGTTTTACGTTATGAACAATTGGAATTTTAATCAGTATTTTTGCAACTTTAGTTTTCTATCTAAATGGTAAACCTAAACCATTTTTCTTACTGTTCGTCTGAATTTGGGGCATAAATTTATAAATATTTTCGTCTCATGGTAAACTTATATATTTCAAGATTGAATTAATACAAATAATTCAATCTTAATTGGATGCTAATCGACTTCAATGTAAAACTAAATATGACGAGTACTACATTATATCCCCCATCTGCATCAGCTTGTCCTAATCCACTTTAATTAAGTGTAGATATAATTAAGATTAATGATAAGAAAAAAATTCCATTTCCGTTCTTGAAAACATCAATGTTCAAATCTCCGAAGAACGGACATATACCAAAATATTAATATTATACTATAAATCAGCAGCGGTTAGGGTATCATTTTTCGATTCTATATTGCTCCTGTGTTTTTAGACTTCGTGGGCAGATATTTAAATTGGGTTTCCGTAACAATATAGACGAGTTTTAAATTGCATTAATACAAATAATACTAACTTAATTCATTGTTGTGGGGTTCATAAATATTTCGCAAATTAAATTGTGCAATGTTTCGAGAGTAGTCAATCAGTATTTTTGCAACTTTAGTTTTCTATCTGAATCTTAAACCTAACTCGTTTTTTTTCGTACGGTCAGTCTCAACTTCTCGTAACGAATCTAATAAAATATTTGCAAACTACACATATCAACGTTACAATGTGACACGTGTTTGGCTAGTTGAGAATAATTGTACGTGTTTAAAAGGAGACATAGTCAATCAGTATTTTTGCAACTTTAGTTTTCTATCTGAATCTTAAACCTAACTCATTTTTTTCTTAATGTCCATCTCAACTTTTAAAGGATAAATTTATAAATATTTTCGTCACTTATTTCTTAAAAATTTAATTAATACCATTAACGCAATCTTAATTTGATACAAATCAGCTTCAATGTGAAGCTAAGTAAATTACTAAATATCGGTAAGTACTATTTTTGTAGATAGGCTAGATTATCAGAAGACTTCATATATTCTAAGACCCATAGTATAAGGTATTCACATCATTTATTTATGTATTTGAGCGGTTGCAAGATTTGAGTGACTCGTGCAAAATTTGGACTACCTAACTAAGCAGATACCTCAAAAGATTATTCAATTTTGCTACAAGTGAGATTAAAATTGTACTCACTAATTGATTAAGTTTCACTAAAACAGCATTAATACGAATAATGCAATTTTTCTACCTGAACACGTAAAATATTATGCAGGTTTGCGTCGCATTCGCTACATTTCTCGTCCTAAGTAAATTAGGGGCTAGACAGACATATTTTTTTGGTGATACATTTTTCGAACCTATTCCATTCCCAATTCCCTTCACTTTGTTAAAATAAACTTATATTTCTTTAATGAAATATATCTTGCGTAAATTGCTTCAATACAAATGAAGCAATTTTAATTTGATGCAAACTAGATCCTATCTCGCACCCTATCCTAAATATTATCTATTTATAATTATGTATGTAGATATTACACTCTTAAAAATACTGCTACCCTTCTAAACAGTAAATACACTCTGAAAGTAAGCTAATGGAAGAAAAAAATGATGTAAGCAAAAAAGAAATAATTTTAAAATTCGATACATGAGTAAAAGTATACTCGCCAAAAAATTTACTTATTTTTTATTATGTGCGGTGCGATCCCACGGTGTGTGTCGACGATGTCTTGCTGAGTTTGGCGTGGCGTCCAGTTTTTCATGATGTACTTGGTGGTGATACTCGATGGAAATGGCAGAGGACCCTCGAGCGGAGAAATGACATCATATTTGTGAAATCAGCATCTTGAAATTCTTCAGTGAGCATGATAATCCAGATTTTTACTCGTTCTCGTCCAAATCCACGACGGGGGATGAGATTCGTCCAAAATTCTAAGATAAGGCAATACTTAACGTTAGAAATTACTAATTATTAATTTAGTTTAATTTTTAATTTACTAATTTTAAACTAGTCAATTTACATAATTCGAAAGAAATATATTCACTCAAATTAAATTTAAATTACCATTCATATCTCGCTGGCTTCATAAAGTTAGGCCGTACGGAGCAAGTAAAATTTGTTGAGGAATTTGTATCATCAATAATCCATCCTGTAATTAATACAATTGTAATTAATACGATTTTAATATCCAGGAACAAATCTCATATTTAAATGTTTATTAATGCGTAAAAAACCATCTTACCTGTTTCAGTTACCACTAATTTTCCACTAATGTAAGAACATCCTAGTGGTTGTTGCTGGATCGCCTGGAAATAAAATTTACGACATGATAAGCACCTTTCTAAAATATGTATGTATGTATTTCTTAATACGTTAATTAATCACTTTCGACTGCACAAATAGTGAAATTGTGTGATAAGTAAAGTATGCATAAATACATGCTTAGAAATTCAGTTAAATAATACCAAGCTTTATTCATTGCAAAGCTATAGTGTTAAGTATGTACTTAATAGCTCAGTATTAAAATTTTCCCATATGACAAATTTTTTACGGACCGGTATAATATTAATACCAAGCGACTTTAATAGCGAAAAATTTATACCTGCCTGACTTTACCATATTTCTACATGTGTAAGGTAAATATAGATACTACCAAATTTTTAATACAATATTGAAATACGTATTAATTAAAGTAGAATGTCGATTAAATAAGTAACAGGATAAGAGATAAAAAACTTACGTTATTATTAAAAATTGGAGTTTTACTTGTCTTCAAAACTTTGAACTGATTCAAATTTCTGGCCTTATCTTAAGTGGCGAAGATAATGGACTTATTTAATTTCTTTGTGTAAGCGTGGCCACACATTTTCACTTCTCCGTGGAATACGGAACTTCCACTTTACCATGTTTCCTTATGAAAGGTCACCCTTCAAGTGAAGACTGCAGAGCGGAAAGTAGCCAGAAAAAGGTGCCCTTCTTCTCTCCATCTTGGTTGCAACGTGGACTTGGCGTCTTTCTATTTAAAGAAGGAATGAGTACTCAGAAAGGTTGAATGGGTCTTATAGAATTCACGTGGTTGGCACCTCGTGTATTCATTAAGGGGTGAAAACCCCTTTATGGAAATGTCTTGTCCGTCTGTCCGTCTGTCCGTCTGTATCCACGATAACTTTAGAACGGATTCGAATTTCGACATCCGCTTTTCGCCAACGTGTTTCTAATTTTTGGGGACAGGATGAGTTCGAAGATGGGCGTTGTAGGTCGTCAGGTCACGGCGCCACGGTGATGACGCCAACGGTCAAAGGTGTCGAATTTTTTGTTTTGCCCGTTTTAGAAGTATTTTTTGTCGGGGATTTCAGAAATCGCCATCATTTCGACGTGCGATGACCGTGTGACTCTGTAGACGACGCCAAAGTCGAAAATTGTCGAATTTTTTGTCGCCACCGTTTTAGACGTATTTTTTGGCGGGGATTTCAGAAATCGCCATCATTTCGACGTGCGACGACCCCATGACCGTGTGGGAGGTGTCGAATGTCGAAAAATGAGATTTGTCATGTGGGGTGTTTATTGAAAGGTATTGTCGTGTACGTTTGAAGTACGCGGGTGGGGGTGTCAAAACGGGCCAAATTGAGACTTGGGGTAATGTGAGACAATGACGGGAAAGTGCAGAAAGACGTTGTGGGCGTGCCACAAAGACAATTCCGTGTGTTTTCACCCCTTTGCTACATTTCGTTTGCAACGGTTTATTAATCCACGAGTGTGCATAATCACATTTAATCTTATACATATCGCACATGTAAAATCATTCAACAAATTTTTTCAGTTAAAAGTTGTAAACCTTTTTAACGAACGTTTACACGTTGTAAATTCAAATGTGTACAATTTTCCTAATCTCTGTACGACCTGTCTATGCAAAGGTGTCGTAAAGTACCCTATTTCAGTTTATTGCCCTCCTTAAACTACGTATAATTCATTATTAGAAAAGGTAATAAAACAGGACTTTGGGGATTTTTCACTAGAATTCTCAGAAATAAAATTATAAATATATATGTTGCAATGTGTATGTACATATCTCTTCCTGCTGTGAGAGAAATACTATGGATGTGAAGTTATAGGGTTAAAAGTACCTGATTATGAAGTCCTTTGGATTTTAGTAACCGATGAAATTACTAAAAATCCCCAACCAGTCTGACTCTATTTTGTCTTCCATAGGTTAAACGTACCTGCTGGTATATGCATATTTACTTAATTAGTTAAAAATTGTCACATGAACCCTCAGACACTTTTAAAAGAGGGGAAAATAATGGAGAGAGCCGGACTATGACTTATAAATACTTCAATATTAAATAAAATACACACTTTTAATAACGGCGGCAAGTTGTTTCTTTATTTGAGTGTAGCATATGTATGTGCATACATATACTGCTGTTCACTCATATACATACCTATATATGTATATAAGTAAATAAGTACATATGTATGTTGAGTTTTAGTATGCCCATTTCCCATCTTCCAAACTAACTTATGATAACTTGAAGGCGAGTCGAATATATGTATGTGAATGAAAATGTACCTATCCAACTCCGTTTGATAGTTAGTATGGAACTTATGGAACTATATACGTTCCATGCTAAAAAGACTTGCAGCATGGTAGAGGTGAGCTGGATCGTCATTTTTTGAGATCCAATCCATCCAAATCCATTTGGCCCAAAAAATTTCAGATCCAATCCATCCAAATCCATTTGGCCCAAAAAATTTCAGATCCAATCCATCCAAATCCATTTGGCCCAAAAAATTTCAGATCCAATCCATCCAAATCCATTTGGCCCAAAAAATTTCAGATCCAATTCATCCAAATCCAGTTGGATCGGATCAGGGCATGGATTATCCAAAGAATTGTATATATAAACTCATGGTTAGTGTTCGGGATAAATCTGATTGGACTGTATATGTGTCACAGTGTGTACCATGCAACAAAAGTATGGCCCAGTTACTGTTAGGATGGGATCGGAGTGTTAAAAAGAACACTTCCTGATATTCTTTATGGTGACGAAATTTATCCAATTCGACCAAATCCAGTCCACCCAGATCCAATCCATCCAAATCCATTTGGCCCAAAAAATTTCAGATCCAATCCATCCAAATCCAGTTGGATTGGATCGGGCCATGCATTATCCAAAAAATGGATATCCAGCTCACCTCTACAGCATGGCATCGCACATTAGATATTTGTATTATTTATGTATGTACTCTCCATTCGCACATGGTACAACTTTTACAGAAATTGAGATTTCTCAGAAACTATGGCCCTGTCAATCTCAAATTCTCTCAAATTATGCTGACGGGGTACTTTGAGACTAGCAGTGCCGTAGTTTCTGAGAAATCTCAATTTCTGTAAAAGTTCTACCGTGTGCGAATGGAGAGTAATTTGTCATTCCTGATGATGCAATAGTTACATAGTTCGTACTTACAAATAAACAGATAACAACTAATGATCAAGGGGTTTCAATATTTTGTATAGCTAAATTAAGTCGGACTTCACCCCGTATCAGATATGCATTTGATATAGATCAGATATGCATAAAGTATTTATAAACAATCGGATGGACTGGTGTGACATGATGAACTGATCTCTTGCTATATGCAGCTGATGTAATAATAATTTCCCTTGTTAACTGTCAATCTTTAAACACTTTGTTCGTGTGGTGTGCAAAAAGTGTGGCATACGAAAATCTAGAGTTGTACAATGGTTGGGGCATAGAAATCATACAATTTTCGACATCAAAAGCACGACAATCAGTATAATTATTGTTGCGGATCACCACTTGCATATGTATGCATTTTGATTCTTTAGTTTGAATCTTGGAAAATTCGTGTCAACGTAAATAATCATAATGGGGTTTATGTAAATGAGTTGACACGCAACAATAATTCTAAATAGACACAAGATCCCCTTGTGACATTAGCATAATGGAGAAAGTGATTTATATGCCGGAGAAAATCGGACAAATTCAGCTTGTCATAATTTACCTGGAGATTGGCACAAGTATTTACAACTCTAAATACAAATTCGGTGTGAATGTACATACGTACTCATAATATTACGTAACCGATTAAACCTGTCATTTATTGACGTATATGATACTTTGGAGGCCGGTCTCGCCACAGTGTTCAATCTCATAATAAATTTGTGATAACGCTATTTCTGTATATAAATATGCCAACGCGTGCTCACTTCTATATCCTGCAGACTGCGAAAAGTATTAAGTATTTTTAATTCCATCAACGTCTCACTTGGTAAGCAAATTTGCCATTAAGTATTTCAAGTATTTCAGCAAAGGTTTACTATAAACCAACTCAATATTTTATTTCAAACTTTTTAGCAACGTGAAAATGTCATTTTACCCCATTTTCTGCATAACCTTACTATTTTTCTCCGCCGTGGAACCCGCCTACTTGGGCGAGCCGTGCCATCCCCTCGTTCCCGACTTGCACTGCGTCACCGGGGGTAACATGCACTGCGCCCTTCAACAGGATGGATTCTCATATCGCTGTGAATGCAATTACCACCACAATTCAAACTTGGCGGGGACCTACTGCCACGGGACTTATGGGGCAGGTTGCGTCGAATTTAAAGCCTTGGACTGTAACGCACACCGCCGAATGTCCTGCTTTCTCGAGCCCGTCTTCATCGGAACGTGTTACTGCTCAAATCCATCGACCCTCATGTACCGGGAAGACATCGACTCCTGCGTCGCCCGGGCGGGAAGGTCATGCCACATGAACGCCACGACCCCATTTGGACTCAGCTGCGTGCCCAATTCCGACTGCGACGACGCCGCCGGGACTGAAGTCCCAAACTGTAAATGCCGTCCCGGCTACGATCCCGACGTGGAGGGAAGATGCGTCAGAAGTGGCGGGCTCCACGGGGCACAATGCGACAATAGTGACACCTGCGACTATGACGTCCACCATCTCATCTGTCTTGAAGGAACCTGTCAATGTGGGAGTGGCTATGTGCCAAATTCCTTTGGTAAATGTGTCCGTGTCTATGGCGCTAAATGTTCGGAAGTCGACCCCTGCGATACGGCGAATTATATCGGATGCTCCAGCACTTCCGGACATCCCGGTGTTTGCACGTGTGAGGAAGTCGAGCATCAAATTTATGAAGAATCTATCCGCGCGTGTCGCACAAAAGCGCGGAAATATTACGGTGGCGCGCCCTGTGTTGCGAACGCGGCGAGACAATCCATCAATGGAACGTGCGAATGCGATCCAGGATTTATTGCGACGCACGAGGGGCGATGCAGACCGGTCGAATTTCCTGAACTTGGCGATCCTTGTGAAGCTGATGGTCCCACGTGTATTGCGGACACATGGTCTGAATGCACAGCTGATGCAAATAATGCGACCAGCTGTCAATGTCCGCCTGACCGTAGTTCAGACCAACCCGGACATCGCTGTTATTTGCGGTACGGACAGCGCTGCGTGGATGTGGCAGGACGGTATTGCAATACGGATCGCCAACTCGAGTGCGATCTCTTCGTCAACCTTTGTCGGTGTTTTAACCAGTTTAATACCATTTATGATGCTGGGAGGGATGCGTGTTTTGTTCTGACGGGGGGAAAGTGTACCAATGGCGATACAGAGTTTGACCAGAGGTGCGTGGACAATGCGTCCTGTCAGGGAAGTAATGGATGTCGGTGTGATGCTGGATTTGTAGAAACGGAGGACCGAAGATGCACACCTGCTTCAACAAGCCTTCCAGATTATGATTCTTTCCATTAGATATATTTCTGTAAACAGTAGTGTAAATTTACAAAAATATGTACACGGTGTATCAATCTGTTTATTTACTAAAATTTGTGCAATACCAGAGTATTATAATGTTCTTGTTGTAACCAATTTTTACATTTCCAACTAAACTGAAATAAACAACACTAATGCTCTTATTGTGCATATCTATGTTAGTTGTACATCGACGAAACTAATCGTTTGACATTAAGAAAGAATACTGCAGGTGTGCACATATGTATGTACATAGATATGTATTTATCGCACAGTAGTTATAAATTTCTCCATTAAGGGGGCGTGCATAAACTAACGTTATAATAGCATATTTGTACCGCACCCTTGTGACATTTGCATGACGCTCCCTCCTACACATTCAGCTCCCAGCCTTAATAACCTCTAATTACCACTGAATGATCCAATTATCGCCCGAGCTTGCTTACCGATTAAAGAATTTGATGGACATGGTAAAAGCTGTTAATTCTGACAATTACAACAATTTTGTATTATTGAACTGTCGAATAGAGAGGGTGGTTAGGCACCAACGACATATGTATATACATGTGTTTGTCTTACCCAATGTATTTAAATTTATGTATGCACATGTGTATGTTAATAAATACATACGTATAATTATTGTGTATGTCTGTATTTCGACTATTGGGAAGAAACATTTCAAACAAATGTCCCCCAAGAGAAATGGTATTCGTTGTTTACTAACCCTTCAAAATTAGCCAAATCGTGTAATACATCTTATGTTGTATTTCCAAAGGATTTTTACGAATTTGGAAGAATTTTATTCTACTTCGTGATTAGGAATGAAGGGCACCTGTAATTTTTGGCGGTGCGTAAGTCAAATTCAAAGACGTGACTGATTTACAAAATAAGATTTAAATAAGATAATCATAGATCGGTATTGATTGTGTCTGAAATCCAATTCAAAATGAAAGACGACCAGACGTTAAACACCCTCCGTGTATTCATTAAAGTTGTTAATTTATTTAACGGAACACCGTATGAGTGGGATAAGAAGGAAAAATGCTTAAGATTGTCGCTCAATTCTACGAAACGAATTTGTGTATCACTCACAAAATGGAACATTTGGATTTATCTGGCATACTTAATCTGTCGCTTGGGTGGAGAAATTTTTCGGGCAGGACATGCTGATTTTGTGGCTGTTATTTGGCTCCTTGTCTGGATTTTTTTAATTTATTTGGAGTGCAATAAGTTTTCAAAATACTGAAGTTTCCTGCCCCATTGTGACAGCGTTGTTTAAAGGAGTGAAAACAATATATGAAGAAATGTCAGGTGAGTAGAAACTATTGCTGAAAAAACCCATGTTTCAGTAAGACTAATACTGAAATTGCCATAAATCTTTATGTGATAAGATGCTATACTGTCCTCCTTTGTTAAAAGTGAGGTGGTTTTTTTCCTATTCCGTTATACATAACAGATATCGCTAAACAACTGTTGTTAACATTTAACGCAGAAATAGGCATCCCGTGTCAATGTGTATCATTTCATCTTCATCTTCATCCAGCATAAAATTGTGTTCTTTTTCATTACTGGTTGATTTTCGGATGATCGAGCGCTCCTTTACCAAAAATTTTATCTATGTGGCTACTTATTCTCGCTCTCCCAACCCATTGACCGTTTCAAACACACCTCAGTCAAATTGAGCTAGGAAGTATTTGAGAAACAAATAGAAAAATTGGCATGCCAAAAGATTACAACGGTGACAATGTTTTTAAATTAGTGAAAATACATTACCGATAAATACTTTCATCATAAATTATATTATCAATTAAATTTCATTCAAAATTATAGCAAAGTACCCTGACAAGTTTTCAAGCAAACCAATATTTCTCAAGTACAACATTCTTCAAATGCAAATAATGGCATGTTTGTGGATCTTGGCCAGTCTGATTTTTGCCACTACCTCCATGTTCCTCGTCGTCCCACTTAAGCCGCAATACATTTCATCCCTATTTGAACAAGGAGTTCAAAATCCTTTAGTTTTTGCTGGATTTGTCCTGCTGGAAATATATTCGAAGGCTTCATCAGCATTGGTCTCTGGAACGGATGGATTACATATTTTGGTCCCAATCTATGTTTCCAACTGCTGTATGGATGCGGTCAGGTGAGATCTATGTAGAACAATAACTAGAAAAATTACCTAAGTGTGCATATATAGTTGATAGTGTTAAGGGTTGCCATCTGCAGGAAAATGGGCGCAACCAAACATTCTTTGAATCAAAATTTTCATTTATATTTAATCATTTTCTTTCACATTCGTTCCATTTTAGTCTATTTTACCTCATTCATTACTTTACCCGATGTATCAGGCATCAAGCGAAAAATGAAAGAAGTGAAGCCCTTCATGCACATCCACTTACCTCAATGCGAAACACTTCATTTTTATTCAAATGAAAGGATATTCATTCGTACTGATTGTCTATCATGCAATGATATTGTATACGTTTTAGTGCAGATTGCCATCCTTAATTCGATTGACAACCCTGCACATTAATATTATAATAGATAAACTGCGGCAACGCAGGGTACACAAGTAGCGCAAGAATGCTGAGAACCCGATACAAAATAAAGAAAACAAAGATTGCCGAATCTAAATTATTTAAAAATAACAAAATAATGGAGATTTCGTTATTCTATCTTGCTATTCTGAAAAATCATGCATCTTACATGTTTTACAGTTTTATCACTCCTGATTAATTAATCAATCTAACTTTTTTATATATCCTACATGCTAGATTCAATTTTTGTAAAAATCTCATTTTGCCCCAACCACAGCCCCTGGCGCCCGGGGGGTGTGGCACAAATCTCGAACACTAAATTTAGCTCTGTTTCATCCATAGATTCAATTTTTGTAAAAATATCATTTTGCCCCGACCACACCCACTGGCGCCTGGGGGTGTGGTCCGGCAGGCCCCAAAAGCTTGGGGGATCCTCCCCCTAGGGTCATACGTATGATACCGCAAACCGATTTCGATTATCTCAATCCGTTCAACCGTTATCGTGTTGACAGACAGACGGACGGACTAACTAACTCATCGCATAAAATAGCTTGCGCTACTTAGGAGGAGAGACCCTCTACATGTCATCATCAGATCTTGATGCCCTTTGGATATGTTGGAGTACCCTATGAGTCTACTAAAACCCTGAAATGGTTTGATGCCATGGCCCCATTTGCGCCCGCCACACCCACTCAAATGTGTAAAAAATACGAAAAAAAGCCCTGTTTTCATGTACTTCAACTGTCACCAAAAATCCAATTTTGCTCGGATTTTCATAAAATTTACATTTTTGTGATGCCAGATACTTGTGTGATCATATCCAGTAGCAATCTTAACTTTTTTGAAATTCTGAAAATTTTCGAATAATTCATGAGCAGTGGAATGTCCAAAAATTTCGAAAATTTCAAACAAGTTGAGATTGCTATTGGATATTATCACTAGGGCTGACAAATCCGTTCCCAATTTTCAAATCTGGATTTCGGATTATCAGTTTTTCTTGGGACCCAAATCCGGATTTAAATCCGGATTTGAATTATTTATTGTTATTATTTATTTCCTCGATATTTGAACGAATCAGACAGATGTCAGATAGTAGAATTATTAATTTCGATTACAATCTCAGATTTTTTACAAGTTTCAATATTTCTGAAAATTTTCAGACGATACGGGCAATTATTGGGCATTTTTCTCGGTTCATGAACTGAAAAAATGGACAATTTAAAAAAAGTGAATTTGATGTCGGGTATGATAAACTAATTATATATGGAATGTATAGCATGCTAATTTTTTTAAATTCACACTTCTCGCCAAGATTTGAATATTTACATTGTTAATACATATGAGTCTTTAATTTAGGGAAATCCGGATTCGTCTCTAAATGAAGGGAAGTTCGAAGTATCGGAAGTTTCGGAATTCGAAGTATCCGAAATCCGAAAAATCCGGATTTTTCGAATTCGGAGTATCCGGATTTGTCAGCCCTAATTATCACACAAGTATCTGGGATCACAAAAGTATAAATTTTATCAAAATCCGAACAAAATTGGATTTTTGGTGGATTGTTGAAGCTGGTAACTTTTGTGGTTTTCATCCCTTTGGGTGGGCGTGGCGGGCGCAAATGGGGCCATGGCATCAAACCACTTCAGGGTTTTAGTAGACTCATAGGGTACTCCAACATATCCAAAGGGCATCAAGATCTGAAGATGACATGTAGAGGGTCTCTCCTCCTTAATAATGGTGGCTAGGGCATGCAATACCGGTACCATTTTTCAAAACCGGTATTCGGTATTTCCGGTATTGAGACCTTCGGTAATACCGGTATTACCGACACCATATGTTAAATTTGTTAAACATGCTAATATCAATGAAAATCCTCGCACAAAGCAATTGCATACGTTTAAGACAATTAAATGCTTGTGTGTAATCATATGAATAAGTATTATTACAGAAGTGAACATAAATATTCTTAAAAACTTTAGTTATATGCCTAACTTCGTAATAATTTATCAGAGCTCACGGGCAAAAAATTACCCCCGATTCAAATTTTACTCATTGTATTCCCCAAACTTCTGATTATTTACTCCGTATCGCAGCCTTTTCAAATTCATCCACTTTTAAACGTGTGCGCTTAAACTAAAACTATTGAACTGTTTTAACATCATCATCATTTCGTGTGTGCTCTCATAACTGCCTAAGGTATTTTCAGCGATTTTAAAAATTTGAGCCGTGAAATAGTTTTTACTTGACAGTTTTTAGTTGTCTATTTGTCAAAGTACGGTAGCATATTTTTGGCGTTGCTACCATATCAGCAACAGTTATTCAGCCGTTGAAAATTTCGTATTTTCTCTCAGAAACTCAAAACCTACAGTGTTTTACATCTAATTTCTTCAGCATTTTTTTACACAATTGTTTGAAACTTTAAAAATAAATGCATACTGCATACATATGTACATATGCAGTAATTAAAATAATTAAAAATTAATTCAAATATATGATTGGTACGAAAAATGCATTGATTATAATCCGCCAAATTGTGACCATCAACTTGTTATTTTAATTTTGGATTTAATAAGTGGAATTTGGTTAACTGAAAGTTAGTCTCAATATGTAAAATTTATG